CTTGGTCTATTAGCTGAGAGGGTTTAGAAGACACTGATATCTCAGTAGCAATAAGCACCCAGATCTTGGTTTCTAATAACCATTCTCTGATAAAGGAAATGAATGTCTTTAGAAAAGTAGCTGGTTCTAGGACTGAAGAATACAAAAGATGAGTCTGAAGCATCTTATAGTGCCAGATAGTAAAAAGCTGCTCAAAATGAAAGCTAAAACAAAAACAGAAAAACCATAATGATGGGGGTGTGCCAAAGACAAATAGGAGCCAACTGAAAGAGCTACCAGTGACCAAAACTGGAAAAATTTGAGCAAGAAAATTAAACAGTATTTATAACTTCAAAGTACAAAAAAAAAAAAAATCCATGAGTCCTTATGGATATAATAAATGACTGAATAAAGACATAAAGGAAGGAGAACAGACAAATCTCCATGCAGAAAAAAATCCAAATAATTTCTGTGGATAATCCACGCTTAAGGATGTAGAGCACTATCCAGTATGCATTGGCTACACATAGTTACTTTCTTTCAAAGAGCGGAGTATGAAAAGGGAGAAAGAAAAAGTAACTTAACAATGGAGAAACCTGACAAACATTACCTCAAGCCAGGTGATCAGGGTTAATATTGACAATGATAAGTCATACTGATAGAATACATCCTTGATATGATATCATGAGAATGTCGCTTTACCTCTCTGGCCTTTTTCCTAAAAACCACATTCTTCAATCTCACCATGAGAAAAACATCAGACAAAATCCAAATGAGAGAGTCTACAAAGCACTTGAGCAGTACTCCTCAAAACTGTCAAGGTCATCAAAAACAAGGAAAGTCTGAGAAGCTGTCATAACCAAGAAGAGTCTAAGGAGACATGACTGCTAAATGCAATGTAGTATCTTGAATAGGATCCTAGAGCTGAAAAAAGACATTAGGCCAAAACAGAACCCAATAAGTATGTACATAAGTTAATAATAATGTAGCAGAACTGATTCATCTATTTTGAAAAATGTATCATACTAATGCACAATGTTTATAGTAGGGGAAACTGGGTATAGAATATACAGAAATTCTCTGTACTATCTTTGCAGTAATTCTGAAAATCAAAAACTATTAGTACATTTATTAAAGAAAAATCTCCTAGGAAAGGTTCCAGATATGTCCCATGCTTACAATAAACAAGCCAAATGCAACCAAGAAAACTCAAACATGAGATTAAATCAGTTAACTGGTTCCTCAGCCATAATAATACACTGTGCCCAGAGCTCTACAGAAACTATCACACCAAATACTAGCTGACTAAGCCCACAGCTTCTTTACCAGGATAAAATGGCCAAAGACATTGGTCTCGAACACCTCCTGAAGTCCATCAGCAGTGATCTTATCATCCTGGGTCAGCAGGCCTTCAGCTGTGGAGAACATATGAATCACATTTCTGAAAGAGCAGAAGAAAATTGTATGACTTTTAAAGCTTCTTTAACTGGAGATGCTTTCCAACCCATGCCCCTCACTCATAAACTGCACCTCCCTTGATTCTGTAATGACACGAATAAAAAATCCCTATTTCTCAGACTGGGTTATTGTATTAAATGAAATACCAAAGTCCCTCCTTCCCCCCCCAACTAATTCACAGAAGTATTTACATACTTACAGCTCACACTACCAATAGGAACTTGAGTCTCTCAAAAACCTGCTACTAAAACTCCATTCATCTCTTTCCAAATCAGGTTATAGGTAAGTGTTCTAAAGGAGTAATAGGCTACGCCAAAGGGAAAAAGTCTTCCTGCGCACAAAGTATGTTTAATTGCCACAGGTTGTTTTTTAACTGCGAATTCTTCAAACATTAATACGTTGTTCTGCTGTGAGGTCAGTTTAGTAGGTCAAGACCAATGCAGAGAGAGAGAGACTTTTAATGGAAAAGAAGTAAAGCAAAAGTATTAGTATAGTGAGTAGCACACAGTAAGAATGCAAATTTATGAATAAGTTTGTTGGGTCACAAAATAAGATTTATTCCTATCAATAAGAATTCTCCGGTTGTGTTTCAACAGTTTTGAAAGCCACTACACTAATGTGTAATGAGAATCTCCCAGAAAGACATTAGTTCTCTGCATTTCCCCAACCTACTGGCCAGAGCACCTGACATACAGCTGGGAAATAGGTCAAAGTAGCTTTCCTGGAAATTGGAGTCTCTCTGAGAAATCTAGAACTCTGCCTAATTTCAAAATGTTCTTGCTAATAGGCATAGCCAGGCAGACCAAAAATGGACCTTCTAAACCATCCAACCACTTAGAATGTCCTGGAGACTTAGAATACCATAAAAAGCAGGACTTTCAGCAACCTCCACAAAAGACGATTGAGATGATATGGTTGCAACACCTTCTTTTTCTGTCTTCAACCTTTTCAATACCCTGTTACCTTTCACCTCTCCAACTTAACACACCAGCAAAACTAGGCAGAAATATGAACACATTCCTTCCAATCACTTCAAACATAAAATGGAAATTACCTTGAAAACAGGCCAGAGAAAAGTGCTTTGATATTTAGGTGTGGATTAGGCATGATCCCAGCATTTAGATATATATAGTCTAATCTCTGAAACCTGCAGGTGAACACCAAGACAAGATTGTGAGTTGCAAGTAAAAACATCAAGACAAGATTGTATATTTTATCTCTAGAGTGACTAGAATCAAGAAGGCTTAAAAAAGACAAAAAATACTTTTTAAATTAATAAATTAGCCACAGCAAGCTCAAAAGAATTTATAGTACATTAGAGTTACAGCATTTCTTTCTCAACAGTTATTCTTTAGCCGCAATAAATATTTGAGAATTCTTTTTTTGGTAGTGGCTTCAAACAATCTGTGGAGTCATCATGGACTTGAAGCAAAACCTCTGACCAACAATTCCTTCCAGCTCTATCTTCCCAACAAGGCATTGCAGCAACCCTCTATCTATTAAACCCACTTTCCTCATCTTACAAAGTGTCTTGCTTTAAAAAAAAAAAAAATCCACATCTCCTCTGGTTGACAAGTAAAATTTATATAATACTGATATTCACCTGACCTGATCTATTAATGCTGAAATCTGAATGCCAAAATATATAATAAAACAGAAGATCCATGTGGAAACCTTTGTTCATCGACAAGTCCTATGTATCATAAAATGATGAAAGTTCACTAAGAATACAATGACATTATAAAAGATGAATGGGGGTAAGGTATTCTTGTTGGGTTTCCTCCTGGATACTTGTCATGGAAAGGACACGAAATGCTGAGTTGAAAAAGCATTTTCAGTTTTAAACCTATATAAGTCTTCATCTAAGTGTACTTATTTTGAACTAGGTTCAAAACGGGTAAAGCCTGCTCTCATGATACTCACAGACACCATTAAATATTCAGAATATCTCCTAGAGTTCTATGTACCACACTGTCTCTGAATAACCCGACATTAAGAGCCACAGCTCCTAAATTTAGGACCCTGAAATGCATACATGGTTTTCAATACAGATCACATACAAACATTTCATGATCATTCTATAAATAACTGACAAATGACTCAAGTTATTAAATTGACCATTTAATAAAATGCCGATATTGTTACTATTATTTCATCATATAAGTGCCACAAAGATACTGTGAGTTCATCCACTGTTGCTTGTTCCATTACCTTATTTGCAAACTTTTATCTAAGGATATTGACATATTTGGCTAGGAACAAAGAGGAAATGTTTACTAAAGACACCAAATTAAGCTCTGACTTCAGTAAAATGACATACCACTCATCAATAAAATAACTGCCACAATTGCTCTATTACAGATAAAACAGAATCACTATTTCTTACTAGTTTTCATCTGCACATACCTAACAGAAGAGAGAGCTACAGATGGAAAGACCAGGTGTCAGGGACGCTGTTGCTTGAGTCATTAGAAGGAATTCTCAAGCTCTCTTTAGCTCTAGTTTACTTCAGACTTAGAACTGAGGAGATCCATTTGAGCCACTGAGGGTAGCAGAGCTTTGACATAAGCAAGAATCTATTTGGACACTTTCATATAGCACAAATTTGTGAATATCACTACAACCATCATTTCCTAAATCTGAATAACACCAACCATCTCAAAACAAAAAGGCTGTTTTGTGAATTAAATAAATACCTCAAAACTTCAGTAAAATGCGGATGACAGGCACCTGGGACAACTCACTTATCATCTGATCCCTTCTGCTCCACAGCATCACTGCCTTGAATCTGTGCTAAGTTGCTAAATATCTTACTAAATACTGTATTACTAAACTTGTGATAAAGAAGCAAATATCTTGAACCTTGGGAGGCATTTGGGATAGTCAGTACTATCAATGTTAAAACTTTAAGTCTCAAAAGTAAACTGCATCAGAATGGAGTATTATTAACTGGGAAATGACGGTTCTTTTCTGCCAAATAAGAAAATATAACAAAATCTAAACAAAGCAGGTAAGAAGCCAGCTGGCTAAGGTTTGGGAAAAGAATGCCTAAAAACCTGATTAGAAGCTCATAACTTTTCTCAGCTTTATGGTTTTTATCTCCATAAGGACGTTTAGTATACAGCTTCACAGCTCTGGAGACTCTTAAGTTACAGAGGAGTAGGGGATGTGGAATATATCACAATTTCTGTGAGAATAGAACCTAGAAAATCTCCTCAGGTTTTTTTTTTTAAAAAGGATGTGGCAGAAAACTCTAAGAGCTCAGCCGTAGTGGAGAGAGAAGCCACATTTTTTGTTTGTTTGTTTGTTTGAGACGGAGTTGCTCTGTCAGCAGGCTGGAGTGCAGTGGGGTGTGATCTCGGCTCACTGCAACCTCCACCTCCCGGGTTCAAGCGATTCTCTTGCCTCAGCCTCCCAAGTAGCTGGGACTACAGGCACGTGCCACCATGCCTGGCTAGTATTTTGTATTTTTAGTAGAGACGGGGTTTCACCTCGTTAGCCAGGACGGTCTTGCTCTCCCGACCTTGTGATCCACCCGCCTTGGTCTCCCACAGTGCTAGGGATACAGGCGTGAGCCACCGAGCCCTGCCAGAAGCCACATTTACAAAGGACTAAGGCCACAGCAAAAAGAGCTGGAGTAAAGAAAATGAGCTTTCACTTAGTAATCTGGGCATTTGTAACGGGGAAACGCAAATGATTACCAATGCACATAAAATACAAAGTATTTTTCTTCAGCAAATGTCTTCATCAAGAAGGCCTTCATTGTTTCTACACACTTCATTTTACTGTCCAAGGAAACAAGGTAATTTTTTGTTTCTTAAGTGCCTCAATACTAAAATATTTGAAAATTAATTATTCCAGATAGCCCTAGGGCAGCATAAACTAGTGCGGGGTTCTTGGCCTTTTTTCATCATAAATTCCTCTTACAATTTAAAAACAAACAAACAAGTAAATAAAAAGCCCTCTCTGTCCAGAATAATGCATTGTACACCTACATGCAATTTTGTGTTCACTTTCAGGGGAATTATACAACTGACGACTCTATTCCTTCATATACCAAATATTGATCAAATGTCTACTGCATGCCAATTACTGTGAAGGTGTGAACAAATCTTTATTGGCCTTGGGAAAAAATACCCCTTAGGAAGCAGGGAGAAGACCTGGGGTCTTGGTCCCACCCAATTAATATAAGATTGGATGATCTTCATAGGCACATTACCCTTATTTATGTGTCTCAGTTTTCTCACTTGTTAAATGTCACTACTTGCCTTATCTACTTAATGAATTCATCATGTGAAGGAAAGATGTAAAAAATGAATTGAAATGTCAAAGGAGTTACCTTAACATAAGGCAGTGCAACTGATCACACATCAGAATGTACATTAGTCTCCATAAAATAATTATGATCATGGTTAAGAATGAAAATGTGGTATTGAGGCACAATGGGTCACTCTATTACAGATCTCCTCAGATAATGGCTTACACTGCATCTGGTTTCTCTTTAGGTTTCTTTCTTATTTTATTAAGTGTTACGCTGCACAATCACATAAGAGAAAAAAAATTCATCAGCAAGAGATATACCTTTGCTTAAGTTCCTTAGAGGCCTGGAAGACAGACTGCAGGTTGCTGACATCCACCTGCACAACGGTGACCTCAGCAGTGGGGTGAGAGGCCAGCAGAGCAGCGCGGACAGCTTCTGCCTTGCTCATGTTCCTACATGCCAAACACAGATGAAGCTCATCATCTTCCACCAGCAACCGCTTGCAGAGGGCCAGGCCAATGCCACTGGGAGGAAAATTCAGACACAAGATGTGGATTATCTGGGATGGCATCAGGTAGGGGCATTTCTCTCCGGTTCAGAAAACTGTGTCAACTTGACCTCCAATGAGAAGCCCAGATAGAAAAGCCTCAACCATTATTTAAGAAAGGAGGAATCCTCCACTCCAATAGTCACTTGCTTGAGATGCAGTCTAGTTTGTGTTTTTCTCATTTTGGAAAACTTCAACGACACAATAACTGGACTTAAAACAACAGTTGTTCTTTAGCCTTTCTATTACTGGGCCTTATCCTGCCAGTGGTTTTCATTTTGTACTTATTAATGCACTCATGAAAATTATTTAATATATCACCAGTAAGGGCTGAAAAGAGCATCTTATTAGCTGTTTCCTATGTGTATTTTTACTATGCACTCATGAAAATGATTTAATATGTCACCAGTAATGGCTGAAAAGAGCATATTATTAGCTGTTTCCTATGTGCATTTTTACTTTGCTGTCTAGGCTCCTCACCGGCGGGCTCTACCACCTGTTGGCATCATAGCCACCATAAGGAACACCAGAAATCTATGATAAAGGAACAGATGAATCCTTCAGAATCAGGCATCAGTAACATCCTTCTAAACAACTATAATTGAATAACAGAAGAAAAAAAAACTCAATATGATTAAGTAGAAGGTAGGAATACACTAAATATTAGGTGAGGACCAAGAAAGGGAGGCAGGGATGAGTACACCACTCTGAGACAAAGAACTTCAAAAACAGTATTGCAAAGCCGCGTAGGAGTGGCGACCGGAGTCAGACCAGCCTGGCTGACAGCAATGAAAAACTGGGTCATAAGTTCTCTTTCAAGACTTAAGCTGATTCCAGGCAAATATATTAATAGTTAAAACCCAAAAAAGAGGCTGGAACCATCAGTGTCTGTTAGCACTGACATTAAACCATCAAAAGTACTTATTTGTCCTCACATGAGAATAGTAAGCATTTAATATACAACTGCACATATCACAATATATGTAAAAGAAACAGACAAAATCCATTCTGATTTATTTCAGTAACTTCCACATAAGAAGCACCAATCAACTGTTAAAGTCACCTGAGAGGATAAACTAAAAAGTTGCCAACTGCAACACTTATCAAGCTGCCTTAGTTAATATGCGTGTGGTTAAATAACTGAAAGTGGACCAATCTTCAACGTTTAACATGTCCTCTGTCTTAATCAAAAATGCCAAATGCAACTCGTAGGAAAATGGTTTGATTGGCTTCATCTTCTACACATTCTTCATGGAAGTGCAAATGAGAGGTAAACAGGCAACAGAAGAGGCTGAGAAACTAAATGAGCAACCCTGGAATAATTATGAGCTGGTTATTCTGCACCCCAACCATGCCTTCGTAGGAAAAGGTTAATTTTCTCTGGGTTTCTGAAAAGTATGTTAGGTCTCTAGCACTGAGCTAAATGGAACGGGATCGTTTTTCCCCACCGTTCAAATTTGTAGGCAAAAGGCTCGTACAGACAAAATACCTGGAGTTTAAGACATGACCACGTAGTTAGGAGCAAAATATTGGGCACAGACAGTAAGTACGAAAAAAGCTCCACGATGGGAAAGGGAAGGGGCCCGCGTGAGTCCCCTACTCCCTTGATAACCTCGGGATTATCACTGTGACAATCGTCACTTACTGACGCTCTAGTTTTCCCTTTCACTGCCATGTTTAATTCACAGCCCCAGTTACTGAGCACCTCAAGGGGCCGGCATGCCCACCTCCAGCAGTGCGGGACTCCGGGAAACCTGGGCAAAGTCAGGGGCGGGCGCTCCCGGGGTCAGTCCGTGGAGGGTCGCAGACCCCTCCTCTCTCGAACCCCTGATTCGTTGCCGCCTCTGCCAACCCAAAGGAGGCCTCACCTGCTCGCCCCGGTAATCAAAACCACCTTTCGCATCTTCGCTCTCGCACACTTCCAGGCACTGAAGCACACGCCGCCGCTGCTTTCGGAAGTCCTAAGATTTCGGCCCAGCCCGGCCCACCTCTCCCGTCACCAATCAGAGTGCGGCCACGCCCCGCCCCCTCCCGTTGCGTCATCGAGTCTGCGCTCATCCCTCCAATCTCAGTCCTCCAACCGCTCCCTGACCTCGGAGACGGGGTGGGGTGAGATAGGCCGAGGGGCGGAGCTGCGTGACGCAAGGGCCCGAGCCAATCCAGACTCTCCTCGCTCCGCCGCGGTGCCGCCCCCGGTCCTGCTCGCCTAGGACTCCGTGGCGCCTAATCAACTTGGTGGGGGCGTTACCCCCGGGCTAGCGCTCTGGCCTGGAGCTGTGGTACGCACGGGGGTCTGTGCCCTGGCGCCTGAGATTGGCGCTTCATTACAGGAAGGTCTCGGGGTATTTGCACCAGTGCCCATTTTAGAGGAAGGGTTTGGGTCTAGGAGCTAAAGTTGGGGGATTCCTAATTCTCCGTTCCTTTTTGGATGCGTAGATCCAGGCATTGTGCCACTTCACAGCCCAACTTCTGATGCCAGACCTCCTCCTCTAAAGAAACTTTATTGGGAAAATGAGCACTGATTTTATTAAGAACTTTATGTAGAATCATGCGTAAATTACCAGTATTCAAAACTTAGAATGTGGGGTGGAATCAGAATCTCATTCTCTGAAGTACTGAGAATGTGCTGTAACCTTCTATACCAGTGCATCTCAAACTGTGCTAAAGGACCTGTTTGTGTTTCCAAGCCATCCTAAATGGGTGCTTTTAGAAAATACGAAAAAAAAAAAGTGCTAGAAAAAGAAAAGCAAAAGGTATACAAAACAAGCCCCAATTTTCAACACACGTGAAAGTACTCTGCCAAAATGAGGCAGGAGAATAGGGTTTGGAGGCAGGGATCTTAAGGCCAATTCGTGCCGACTTCCTAAAGCTGAATCAAGGAAAAACAGCAAGGTCTGGGAGTAGGGAATCTGAGGACAGTTCATGCTGGCTTCCCAAAGCTGGATCAAAAGGAAAACACCTGGGTCTGGGGGCAGGGAACTCAGGGCCAATTAACACCAACTTCCTAAAGCTAAGCCAGAAGGAAAAATCCCATCTCCCCACTCCCCAGTAGCAAAGGATCAAAGGCTACTCTCCCTGCAACTCTCCCACTTCTGTTCCCAGACCAAACTGAGGGTTGGGCTGCTATTTTTTGAGGCCCAATAACTAGATGCAGATGAACCGGCGAGGAAGAGAGTTATTTTTGTAACTGGTTACGGGGAGAAAGCCTGGAAATTATCACCAGACCAACTCAAAATTACAAAGTTTTTCAGAGCTTATATACCTTCTAAGCTGTATGTCTACGTGTAAGTGTGCATTCATCTAAAGATATAAGTGATTAACTTCTTTTAAGCTATACTAAGATCTGAGTCCTGAGAACCTTCCCCTGGAACCTCAGTAAATTTGCTTACTCTAAATGGATCCAGGTGCTGGGGTGATTACCCTTATCTTCTCTCTTGCTAAGTCACTGGAGGTTTGAGGAGTTCTTTTAGACCCCCAATAAACTTGTTTGTGGATGCCTGGGGAGTTTCTTCAGATACACAATAAAACTTGTTTAATCCTAAGTGGGTCCTATTAAGAATCCCTTCATTATTTTGTCATGCTTTAAGGCCCAGGAAAGGCCTAGACAAAACTTAATGGCTTTTTGTTACATCCCAGACTTTGTATAAGGGCACTGGCTTTTAATATTTAATTTAACCACTTAGTACTGAAACAGTTGTTAGTGAGACCTGGCCTGCCACACTTCTACGAGGTCTCAGAGCAAAAGAGAAAGTGTCTTGGATTGGCTGTGGGCAAGCACTAAGCATGGGCCATGCCTTCATCTGCATTAGGACACAAATTCACCTCAGCCTTTACTTAGCCATGGACCAAATCCTTCATCCAGATAAGGGGTAGCACACTGGGACCTCAAAAGGACTACTTAAAAACCAGAAAGCTTTGTAACTGGGCCCTTGAGCCACTTGCTCAGGCCCGCTCCCACCTTTGGAATGCTTTCTCAGTTTAATAAATCCCTGCTATTGCTTTCGCTGCTTCGTACCTTTGTTACTTTGTGCATTTTGTCCAATTTTTCGTTCCAAATGCCAAGAACCTGGACAACTCACATTCAAGGCCCTCTTTCCAGTGACAAAACTGCTATAAAAGTTTCCAATGCTTACACTAGGTTTCTGTATTGTAGTAGACTGGTAATGCGACACTGTAACCAGCCGCAGCTCACACAGGATAAAACTGTGTATCATACATCAAACTCTACTGAACATACTTTAATCTACTTAATGGCCTCTTTCAATGTTTTAATTATTTATGAACAGTAATGATCCCCAAAACACTGAGATAATTTATATTGGCTTTTGATCCTAGAGGTTTTGATTAATGATACCAACTTAGTAATCATTTATCTTATATCAAGAAAATTAGATTGAAAGAACAAATCTGGTTATTAGAATATTAGATTCCTAAATAAAACTGCTTTATCGTGGGGGTGGAACTCGGCTCCTACGTTTATCCCACTTACAACTGTTCTAAAGAGATCACAATTTAACAATGTTTTGTGAAGGTCATGGAGTAAAATTAAGCCTAATCATGAGAGTCTAGACCCAAGTCCTCATTTAAAATGTCCTAGAGCTCAGAGGTGATGAGGATTAAGAAGAGAGAGACTTGGTTGTGTGGCTGTCCCATAAAAAACTCATTTATATAAAGAAAGCGGGAGGGCCTGGGCTGCGGAGACTGAGCATTATTGCAGTCTCAGGATGCACGCCAGCCTAACACAGACTGAATTAAGTGAAGTCCAGGCAACTTCAGAGCAAGACCAGCAGTCTTTTCTTTCTCCATTGATTTTTATTCAAGCCAAGTGATGAAACTGCTCTCTTCTTCCTTTTTTTTCCACTAAAGTTGCTGCTTTCAAGGCGTTATGACCTTTGAAAGATGGGCTGAACTGCTAGAGGTGCTCAGACTACAATACAGTTCTCTTCACAACTGATGCCATTTAATTTTCTTTTTACAAGTATTTTATCACACATAGGACATAACTTGATAACCATCATAATATATTTTTATTGCTGAGTGAATGGGTAGGAATGTTTTTTTAATCATCATAAGTTTATATTTTTCATGGGCTCATTCTGTTTTCCTGGAAACCAGAAGAACAATATGGTAGACAATGATTCCATCTCTCCGTGCCAAACCTTGACCCTGTGATTTATCTACCATGACCAGTGCTGAAAAATGTCCTCAGAAAACTCACATATTCTGAGAAATATTCTCAGAAAACTAAAAACATAAACTTATTCTCAGACACCAGGTAAGAAATGGGTTTGAGGTCATTTCATTCTAATCTTTATTATAATGACTGAGTCTGAATTCCAGTTTTCATAGTTTTTATTGGTTTGTGTATGTGCAGGCAGTCTGAGACGATATTTGTATTTGAAAGGAATAGCTCCGTATCAAACAAGACAACTCTGTAACCACAACGATAAGGGTTCCCCAGTTAATTCTGGGCTGAATTCCCCAGAACTGGACTAATTAATATGAGGACATAAAATCCCAGTGTCTCACATGTTTGGATATGCCAGAGACCAAGATGCTTTCCTCCCAGTGAACAGTCAACTCATATGTTAGAGGCCTATTTAAATAATCCTTTGTTGGACAGCCCCATAAACAGTCGTCCACGCCACATACACCACAGCTCTGTCCCATACCCCATCACTTCTGTAGGAATGATATAAGACTATAAAGAGCAAGGGTAACAAAGCCCAGAACTCGCACTGTTTATACAGAAAGGGAGATCCATCAGTAGCATGACTCTTTAATCATTGTTATTTACAATTTATCATCTGACAGACTTACAGAGAATAAATAAAGAAAATATACAATTGGTATCACGTTTCCTTTTCTAATACAGAGAATCTTTACGTATTCTATTTGGAATGTCTATGATAGTTTCAAGCAGAATAAATCCATTTGCTCTTTACCCCTTGACATGACACATCATCTTCCAAAGCCTGCAGAAGGAGGCCCAGATGTTTCCTCATCACAGGAAGAGTGCACCACATTGCTGCAGAAACTCAGTCCTCAGAAAAAGTCACCAGACAACCAGGTAGAAGAATAGGATATCATGAATAATAAAGGACATACAATGGATAGGCTAGATTACAAACTCTTGGTGTGTTTGCAGGGATCCAACTTGCAATTGTGTCCAAGCTTCTTTTCAAGTAAACAGTTTTTCACTGAAATTGATTACCGTATCCCATTGCGCTTCCCCTGAATCTCTGCAAATTCTTTCTTGGCATGTAATTGTGATTGTGGATGAGCATAGGCTAGCTTGGGACTCATATCATTTTCCTGCAAGGCACCTGACATTGTTGCATGTTGTTGACAAGATGTCTACAGGAGAAACTAGATAGCTTGTTTCAAATAGGCTGGATATGAGGTTAGAGTCTGGTCTCTGCTTTTGATTCAATGTCCTATGGAGAACTACCTTTCATTGCTGCCTGAATGCCTCAAAAAATTAAGCATTTCTGTAAATCAAGTACACCATCAAAAAGTATACAAATGGAGAATGTACTTCACCAGGTACCAGTCTGAGCATTTTTTTCTCTTTCTTCATTTGAAAATAAACTCTCCATGTTACAGTAAAACTATTCTCCCTGCATTCACTCTAGAAAACTGGATGACAAGTTTTTGTTTCCATCTTATATTCATTAAAAAAAACAACATTCGGCAAATATTTATCAAGTGCTCACAATGACCTAGGAACTTAATAAGACGTCTACACATTGTTATAATCTTGTGACCTAGGGGACTGAAAAATGTCAATCACAAAACTCAAAACTGTAATCCACAAAACTGGAGTTTCAACTTCTCCCCAGGTTGCTGCCGTGTTTGCAATTAATTTGGTCTAAAGTGGTTGTTATTCCATTTAAGAACAGCTATTGAGGCAAATGAAACCTCTCTACCACTCTGAAAACAGTATTTTATCAAACATTAGGAGTCTATATCATTGTATTCTATTATCTCCACAAGCTATTCCCA